TGCCAACGGCCCATCGATCCCTAGGTTGAGCCTTTCTACTCTCAACAATCCCACCCACTGCCTCCAAAGGTGCCCCACAGCCACTTGCAGCTCCTTACCCCACCAAGGAAAGGCTCACGCTGACTCGGAGGGGCAGTTCCTTGCCATGGAGAAAGGCCATTTCCCCGCTGACTCCCCGGCTTGCGGTCCCACTGCTTTTTGCTCTGGAGGCAGCACATCACCAAAGCGCTATGGAGGTCAGGAGAAAGATGTCGGGCCACCTGCGACATTTCAGCGCTGTCCTGAGGTCCTGTGCTCAGGTGGCCAAGGGTGTCCCGGCCCGTCTTTGGGGTGCATGCAGGCCAGTGGTGCTGATGTCATGGTGGCGCTGATGTCACAGTGGTGCTGATGTCACGGGAGCCACTGTGACCCGCGGGACCAAGCCCACAAAAAGCAAGGCTGGGCTCAGGCCGCCGGTCAGTGCGACGACCTGGGGGTACTGGTTGACAGCCGGCTGAATATGAGCCAGCAGTGTGCCCAGGTGGCCAAGAAGGCCAATGGCATCCTGGCCTGTATCAGGAATAGTGTGACCAGCAGGACAAGGGAAGTCATCGTGCCCCTGTACTCGGTGCTGGTGAGGCCGCACCTCGAATACTGTGTTCAGTTTTGGGCCCCTCACTACAAGAAGGATGTTGCATTGCTGGAGCATGTCCAGAGGAGAGCAACCAAGCTGGTGAGGGGTCTGGAGCACAAGTCATACGAGGAACGGCTGAGGGAACTGGGGTTGTTTAGTCTGGAGAAGAGGAGGCTGAGGGGAGACCTGATCGCCCTCTACAGCTACCTGAAAGGAGGCTGTAGTGAGGAGGGGGTCGGCCTCTTCTCCCTGGTAACAGATGATAGGACGAGGGGGAATGGTTTGAAGCTGCGCCAGAGCAGGTTTAGGTTAGATATTAGGAAAAACTTCTTCACTGAAAGGGTTGTCAGGCTCTGGAATGGGCTGCCCAGGGAGGTGGTAGAGTCCCCATCCTTGGAGGTATTTAAAAGAAGGATAGATGAGGTGCTTAGGGACATGGTTTAGTTTAGTGGTGGGATGGCAGGGTTAGGTTAAAGGTTGGACTCGATGATCTTAAAGGTCTTTTCCAACCAAAGCGATTCTATGATTCTATGAAACTAAATTGAAATCCCTGCTAAATTTTGACTGAATCCTCCAGTTGTTGTACTCTGCTGCTGTACTGTAGCTTCTTGCTGGCTTTCTGGTCTAAAAAGAAATTTGGAAGCAGAGCAAAGCTCATCTCTGGCCAGGGGAAATTTATCAGAAATAACTTTTTCTTACTTGGATGCAGCCTGCTCAAGGTCCTAAGCCACATCTGTGTCTTGCAGGAGCGAAGTTTTGCTGTTTGACACTGGAAGCTGCTAGTGCGAGGTTTTTACCTGGGCCTGGGTACACAAGGGGTATGCCTGCCACCCATTCCCCAGAGGCACATCCATGTGGGAAGCCTGCACCTCAGCCTCGGCACACGTCCTTGGAGACGGCCTCCTTGCCAGCACTACCTGTGATCGCAACTCCTCTTGTGTTTCCACACGCAGGAAAGGCAGAGACTGCTTTTGCTCTGGTATTGCAGGTTTGGAGTTGATCTATCGCGGCTCGGTCTGGGATGCCGAGGGGAGCGCCTCATCTGCTGCTAATCGGAGTGTGGAGGAGGGCTTCTGCACATCTGCCTGGGAGGCAAACAGAGGCACCCTCTCTGATCCCAGGAAATCAGGTCTGGAGGTTTGGACTTGGGCTTCACCTTGTACCTGTGAGGGATGCCATTTCGTCCCCGGGGGTATTTCATCACGATAGGTTTGTGCTTCCTTCTCTGCACTGGAGGCGTGGATGGGATTTTGGCTGGGGCTGCTGTATCCTGCACCTGGGGTGTTTCGAGGCTGGAGAAGTGAGAGGGAGGAACATTCTTTGCTTTGAATGTCAACCGCTCAGATGTCAGGACCTCTGCATGCAATGTGAGAGCACACTTGGCCACTCTCACTGTGAGCATCAGGACTTTACCCCAGCTCCTGCTGCTAAGCCAGCAGGAACCCCCTTCTGCAGTCCATGGCTCCGTTCCCGGGCAGCTGCGAGGACAAAGGCTCCTCTGTCCCCGCCAGGGCTTTCACCCGCCATGTGTATACCTCGGCATCGACAAGCAGCGGGAAGAGAGGCACTGCATTCATATCAAGGGATTCAAAGTCCTGGGTTTACAAGGGTGTTTATGAGGGAGCTGCACTCATCCTGCCCTGATTTGCTGGATGGTGCTCGTAAGGGCAAAGTTACTCCTGCAACCCCTCCTCTGGCCTCATAACCAAATACTTGTTTCTTTCCCAGGGTCTTAGCAGTCTGGGTCTGCACAAAACTTCTGGGGCACAGCATTTAAGCTTCCCCTAGCTGGTTATGTTGCATCTCTTCAACTGCTGACAAGCACCATGTCTACAGCAGCAAGGGCAGGATTGCACTTTGAGCCCAGGGACAAAAGATATAAATACAAAACCACCCTGGTTCTCATTGAGGGTGGTGAACGAAAGCACTTCGTGAAGTGTGTTTGATGCCCCTACACATTTGACAGGAGCTGCTATCTGAATTATGAAGAGGAAAGAGGTGTCATTGGAGAGTCATCTAACAGCAGAGATGCTTTGGGGAAACAAAAAACAAATCTGTGCTTCCACACAAATGGAAACATCTAAGGAGCAAAGCAGGGGTGATTGGAAGGCCTGGCTTTATATCCAAGCAGCAACAAACAGGCATGCGAGAGGTTTAGGGAGGGAAGAAAATGCCTGGAGCAAATTGCAGAGGAACAAGTTGTTGACATTAGCGGAGGAGCAGTCTTTGGCAAGAGCAGCGGGGCCGAAACATGTGCTGGTGGTGCCGAGTCGCAACAGCAGGAGTAAGAATGAAAGGAAATTCTTGTAGCAAGATGGTCATGATGTTAAGGGACTGAGAGATAAAACAGCAGAGGAAATCCATCGCCTGAATGGACTAAGATGCCTTCAGCCTAAAAATACACAGCTGGGGGAGGCTGTGTTATGAGGAAGGCCTATGCAGTCCCGGAGGATGGGGAAGATCAGTGTGAATGAATTGCTGGTAGTATCTCAATCCATGAAGTAAGGGACATCAGGGGAAAAAAACCCCAAAGAAACAAAAAAGCAAGTTGTGAGGGAAAAGCAAATCCCCAGGAGAGGTGCGATGTGCTATGGGATGTGATGGACATCACAGGAGTCAGGGTTTCAAAGGCAGATTTGTAGGAGACAAGACTACAGAGTGACCAGACACGGGGAACCACATCTGGCTCAGGAGCTGCTTTCCTGCATGGCATCTTTTCTGTATGACAGAAGTGGCTGAAGCCACCACTTGCCAGTCCAGGTATCTCTGCTCCTGTTTGTAATTACCTGGATTTATTTTTACCATCTCCTCTTCTGGCACTTCTGGCTCAGTTTTGTTTGTACTAAGACTGCAAGGTAAGAGGGGACAGTGAGGTTCAGACCTGCTGCATCACTCTGTAACAAATCACTACAACCAGGAGGTACACAAACACAACACAGAGAAGCTCCTAGCGTCTGAGAGAGACCAGAAACCATTTGCAATTATTTTATTATGACTTAAAATAACATTTCTTCCAAGGAGAGATCACAGTCCTGGATCTTCTCTTTTTCGCCTTGTTTTCTTCCCACACATCCAGGTAGGTAAGACCTATCTCTGCTGCGACTCCCACCACCCCCATTTTTTTGGGGGGTTGTGGTACCTAATGGCCAAACTCCAAGGATTTTGCTGAATGATGGGATTTAACTCAGCTTTGCTGACTGTATTCCTGGACAGGTCCCACCTGACTGTCAGTCTCATTCCTGGAGCACAGACGAGCTGTTCCACATCCGATAGCCCCTGTTTCAGCACTGGGTTGCATCCCTGTCACCTTGCCTTGTCCTCCAGGTCCCTGGTCATTGTTTTTTAACCTCTTGGCCTATTTCACCCACTCCTGAGAAAGAAATTGCATCTTCAGAGATGCTCCATGCTTACAAGCAATGAATATTTCCTCCAGGTTGCAGGCAAGTTTGTCCTGCACGTGTGCCAAACAGATGATGAACATGGGCAGGAGAGGACAGCATCCGAGGAAGCGGGATCCAAAAACGATCTGACTCACAGTTTCCTTTTCTTAAACGACTGTGAGATAAAACCAGCTATTTTAAAAGCACCAGCTTTTAGCAATGCTGTTCCAGCCTCCTAACATCATGTGCCAGGGCAGGTTTAGACTGGACATCAGGAAAAATTTCTTCACCGAAAGGGTTGTCAAGCATTGGAACGGGCTGCCCAGGGAAGTGGTTGAGTCCCCATCCCTGGAGGTATTTAAAAGACGGGCAGACGAGGTGCTTAGGGACATGGTTTAGTGGTGGGATGGCAGGGTTAAGTTAATGGTTGGGCTTGGTGATCTTAAAGGTCTTTTCCAACCTAAACCAGATTCTATGATTCTGTGATTCTATGATGTGCTGTGGTGCTGCAGAGTGCCCTTTAGCTGTGGGTTTTCTGGCCATAGTGGGAGGGGGAGCACCCAAGGGGGCCATTTCCTCTGACTTCTGGGGACCCTCCACACCCGGCAGGCAATGTGGTGGCGGGGAGACTGGGACAGCATCACAGCTTCCAGGTCCCCGGGAGCAGAACAGCACAAAAGCGACTGGCAAAAAATCCTCCTTTTGCATCCAGCTTAATTTCTTCCAGGTGGAAGGACTGGTCCCAAGCTGCCCAGGCTGCATCCATCTCCTGGCCACCCTGGGGCTGGTTTTCTCCCCATCCCACTCACCTTGTGTCTTCCACATGGCCCCAGCAGTGAGAGGGGGGCATGGCCATCACTGTACCCTGTCCTGTCCCGTCCTCCCCCCCAAAGTGTGACATCAGCAGGGGAGTTTCTGAGGTAGGAGGCAGTGGGTGCAGGACCCTAAGTGAGCCCTGGCCATGGTAGGGATGCACGTGTAGAAGCTGATGACAACCAACTCATCATGTGCTGAAAACGTCTTTGTACCATGTACTGGCTTTTTTATTCCTCAAAAAAAAGCCACACAGCTGCACCCTATGCATGTCCTGGGCAGGCAACACAGGGCTGGGGCGATGCAAGGTGGGGAGAAGCTCAGCAGCACTCTGTACAATGCAGCAACTTTCACATGGGTGCAAATTTGGGAGGAAGATGCAGAAATAAAACTCTTTATTTTTGCACAAGTCCCGCTGGCATGGGGAAGCCGGTGACATGCAGGCAGGCTGGGGTGGTGGAGAGCTGCTGCTGGGGAGCAGCGTTGGTGGGGGTGGCTTGGGGGAGCATGCAACGGCGACAGCTCAAATCTGGGTGCGGAAATGCAGGTCGGTGCCCAGCATTTTCTGGGCATAGTCTTGGTCAAAGTGCTCATTCTGGGCCACGGTGAAGTGGTTCTTCCAGTCTCCGGTGGTGCCTGGGGCCGGGCAAGATGAGGCTCAGTGGGGGCCAGGGGGGACGATGCACCAGGAGCCCCCTGGGGCCGCTCACCTTTGCGCATGAAGGGGGAGATGCCCTGGTCCATGAGGTGGGAGGGCACCATGCTGTAGTTGGTGGTGGGGTTGTCCCGCATGGTCTCGAAGGAGGTGTGTTGGGTGATGGCATCCAGCGCCGCCTCTGGCAGCTCCCGCCCCAGGAACTGGGCCACCTTGGCAATCTCCCGGCGGAGGTCCTGCGGGACACAGGCCAGCGCTCACCCCTCCTCCCACCCCCGCAGGCCCCACACCACCGTCCACCAGGGTCCCTCACCTCCTTCAAGTCCTCATAGAAGAGGTAGAGGATGGGGTGATCCTTTCTCCGCTCCCAGTAGTCCTTGACGTGGTCATACCAGGACCCATATGCCACTGCATCGGGAGAGCAGCCCAGAGTGGGGGTCAGTGGGGGAGCTGGAGGACGGATATGGGGTGATCCCTTCCCCCCTCCCTAGGGGTGCCCTGTTCCACCTCTGCCAGCCATGAACAACTCCAGGTACTGGGCCCACGTCCCAGGGTGCGGCTGGAACTTGTTCATCAGGTCAAAGTGGTAGAAGGAGACGGCCACGTCCTTGGCGTTGCGCCCCACGTAGATCATCTGCAGAGGGGCCATGGGGTACGAGAGGCAGCCCCAGGGCCCCCAGCAGGGGTGGATGCTCCAGCCCTTAGGGCTCCCAACACCACTTAGGATGCTGGAGGGAGTAGCAGGAGGTCCTGCCCTGCGGGAACAGGGGGAGCTGCAATGCTCCCTGGGGCAGAGACCAGGGTTGGGGGTTACCTTGCAGTGGTTTTCCCAGAAGGATTTGGGCAGGATATGTGCAGGCAGATGGGTCTTCACCACGCGGGGTGAGGGCATGGTGGCCAGCAGGTCTGTCCCTGGAGGACCCCAAAGCATGTGCCCAGTGGGCCCTCGGCAGTCCCCCTGGGCTCAGCCCTCCGTGAGGTGCCCACAGCCAAGCCTCCATGCCCCACTACCTGACGGCAACTCCCCCGGGGCAGAGAACTCCAGCATGGGCACCCTCTTAGAGATAATGTCCCGCTTGCACTTCTTGGGGTCGCCGCCTTGCAGGATCATGTCCACGATCTCGGTGACCCAGGTGGTGCCTGGGGAAAGCAACCCACCAGGGGGGCAGCCAGGGCAGCATTGGGGGGTTCAGCACTGAAACCCCCCCTAGACCTCAACCGGGTGCTGTGGGGGTGAAGGGAAATCCTGCACCGCTCTGTCCTGGCAGCCCCAAATGTGCTGCGTCCCCCCAGGCAGCAGGTCCCAGCTGTGCAACATGCTCGCCCGCCCGGCACCACCACGTCTGGTGGGCTCGGGGACGCTCACCAGATTTGGGGAAGGTGACCACCACGATGTCCTCGGGGCGGCTCTGGAAGGTGTCGATCCGCTCCCAGTCACGGGCAAAGGCACTGACCATGGGGATGCCGTGCACCATGCGCCAGGGCTGGCGCAGGTAGGTGTCCGAATCGGCCATCCTGCTGGGGACGGGGACGTGTGGGGGGTGGCTGGCTGGCAGTGGGGAGCATCATGGGGCCACCTCATCCCCCCGCCAGCACCGTGCCTGCCTGGGGAGCGGCAGTGATGCTGCCGGTGCAGGGACCGGAGATCACCGTGGCCCTGTCACTGCACCAACCGCTGGGGACAGAGGTCCCGTCTGTGGGGACAGGAGCCCACCCCATGTCCCAGCAAGGCCTGGGGGTGCCCACGGGGTGCCAACATCACCCAGCCCAGGCACCTCTCCCCCTGCCTCGGCACCCCATGGGAGCAGGGAACCGGGTCCCTGGGGTTATCACAGCAGTTCCCAGCCCAGGGGGAGGTTTAGGGATGCTGGCTGCACCCCAAAGTACGACAAACCCACCACCCTGGACCGCGCAGCACACAACCCCGAGGGGCTGAGCGTGGGCAGGGCACCTGCAGGGCGCCCTGGGGCACCCAGCTCACCTAACGCCGTGCTGCTCTGCGCCGGGAGAGTGACACCAGGCTGGTGACACCGGGAGGGCGACGGCAGAGGACAGGAAGATGTGGGGCCTCACCGAGGTTTTTACTGGGAGGAGAAGGAAAGAGGAAGGGCGGGCGAGGGCAGCAATGTTTGCCAGCGCTGTGGCTGCCAGGAGGGAGGAGCGAACGCCGGGAGAAGCCGTCGGCCACTGACCTCCCGCCGGGGCTGCAGCAGGCATCTCCAGCCCCACCGGCCCTGCTCCCCACCCACGGGTCCCAGCCTGTGTCCCCCCATGTGGGGACGGGGAGGCCACCTCTTGCTGCCTGCACCCAGCCAGCACCCTCCCCACATGTAGTTTTGCTGAAATCCTCTGTGTTCCCGCGAGCTGCCCCCCGCCACGGAGGCCAAGGGGACGGGGGGTGGCAACGGCTTTTCGCCACGCCCACACGAG